CTAATGTAACTTCTACTTTCTGGACTTCTCTAAATACTAAGTTACCACACAGTATATCTTTTCGTGGTGGAGCACTGTAGTATACTTATGCGCTCTGTATACTGCATTCTGGCTTGGAATTTTGGTTCGTGGTTTCATCCATTGTTACCAGTGATGCTAGACTCTCCCAAGAGTTAAAATACAGTGGAGCTTGGTCTCGTTCTGTTCTGGCAGCTGTTTCATTGCTTATGACCTCCCGCTTTGCTTCCTTCTGTGTGTGTGGCAAAGGGAAGTGTCCTAAAAAATACAGGCTTCCTCTGAACACAAATGTGTGTTTGTACACCGGTAAGTTCGCAATCTCCTGAATTGGGGTGCCATTAACAGTTGTACTTTTTAAAAAGCTTTTAGAGCTTAGAAGGGTTTAGCAGTTGTTCTGTGGAAACCCATGTTCACGTCCACGGTTTCTTTAAATGCATTAGCAACAAGAACAACAAAATCAGTGTGCATTACAGTGAAAAGGTAATTCGTAAGATATCGTTTTAAAGAAAACTTTCATTTTTAGGTTAATACAGGAGCTGAATTGTGTATCTCTTTGGAATCCATGGTTAACGTAATTGTCTCAGACTTTTTTTTTTAATGACTCCGTTTAATTGAAAGATGACAAAGATGCTGCCGAACCACACATCCTGGAATATTCATCCTGAAACCTGGAGTCCTACTCATTTCAATTTGCTTGGGTTTTCAGATACGTTAAGCGTGGCACACTGAAATTACAGAATGCCTTTCTGTCTTAATTATCCAAGATATTTTTAAAAAGTAACCTGCTTTTATACTAGGCAGTGCCTGAGACAGATACTTTTAACATAAAAAATACAGCATTGGGCTGGTAGGAGTTACTGCAGATAATGCAGCTATTTAAAATCAGCTGCTAGGTACTATAAACCCTTTAAAATTACTAACAAATGAGGGAGGCTTGACTGAGGACTGTTTAGAATGGTTAGCCATGTGCTTATAAAAAGGGACACATGCATGATATTTGTGTGCTTAACCCTGGTTATAAAAAGTCATTTGATTTTTATAACAGCATGTTCAGTGGTTACAAGGCCTTACAACTTGAGCTAAAAATGTAGACTCCCACCATAGAAAGTGCCATGAAAAGGAAATAGCTTGGGCTTCCCTGGTGGCGCAGTGGTTAAGAATCCGCCTGCCAATGCAGAGGACACGGGTCCGAGCCCTGGTCCGGGAAGATCCCACATGCCGCGGAGCAACTAAGCCTGTGCGCCACAACTACTGAGCCTGAGCTCTAGAGCTCACGAGCCACAACTGCTGAGCCCACGTGCCACAATTACTGAAGCCCATGCATCTACAGCCCATGCCCCACAATAAGAGAATCCACTGCAATGAGAAGCCTGTGCACCACGACACAGTGTAGCCCGTGCTGGCTGCAACATGCACAGCAATGAAGACCCAATGCAGCCAAAAATAAGTAAATAAATAAATTTATAAAAAAAAATTAAATAGTTTGACAAAGCTGTATTGGTCATATTTGAAAAATGAAAAAGATGCATGTGTATGTGTGTATGTGTATATTTACAAGGAATAATTATACTTGGAATTTGATTTTTAAATTAACAAAACGTCCTCTGACAGGATTTTTCTTGTGATCTGAAAGAACCCTTTCCCCACACCCAGTTCGTGAAACTCAGTCATACATTTAATAATAGCTATGTAGGAAATGATTTGTATGGGTTCTTAAGAAAGCAAATATGATCAAATCTAAGGTGTACTTCTAAAAAATGCAGTGCTCTATGTAGGTGAAAAGAAAATGGAAGAAAGAAAATAGGTAAGGAAGCGAAAAAAGGAAAAAAATTGGAGGAGAGGGAATTAACATTAAGAAGGAAAAATATAGGGTGAACAACATCATTTATCTGGGGTTTATAATGTGCCAAACACTGAGCTTAAGCTTTTTATATTTGGGGGGAGATCTTGTTTAATATTCACAATGGTCCTAGGAGTTAGTGGAAAAATTCCTTTTTCTCACAAATGAAGTGAAGATGTTAAAACATACATTTCCTAAGGACACCCAGGAAATTATTGGCAGAGCTGTGAAAGAAACCATATCATCTGGGTGCTGTCTGAGGTGGAAAAAAGTCAACCCTGGCTCCATTCTCAAAATCTAGTTATCGTGCAATCTGTGCCTCCCTTTAGGTACACAAGAAGCCCAGGAAGCCCAGGCAGGACACCCAGTGGTTAGCCTAATTAGTTATTTGGGGATGGGGTAGGGCAGGATCTAGGGGCATACTCCATTCCATTCAGGAGGGTGGGAGGCAGACCCATGACACAGCCTCAGAACTAGGGGGATGAAGGGGGAGGATGAAAACGATCAATTTTCATGAATCTTTCCACAACTTTTGCACGTTTACTTTTTATTTCTGACCTTTACATCTTCCAGGAATCTTAGAAGATTAAAAATATTTAGAATCTTTTAGCAGGTGACTCAAAACACATTACCTGCCTGCCATGGTATGCTGGCATTTCCTAAAGGGGTGAGGCTCCTGATTGCCCACACTGATATGCGGTAAGTTACATGGTCTTGAGCAAATCATTCAGCTCCCTGTCCTTCTGTTTCCTGTCTGTCAGAGAGAGGTCTGCTTCTTAATGTCCTCACATAGCAAAATTAGAATTAATTCTTAAAGCAAAACCACAAAGATGATATCGAATTGATACGTATGCCACTCACATATGTGATTTTTAGGAACATGTTCAATCTGAGTAACTGTTCATAGAACAAGAATGCATGACTATTCTGTGTTGAACTCATAATACTTTCTTCACTTAGATTACCTTTCTCATCCTCTCCACCTCTCTTTTGATAAATGGGTCAGACACCATCATCCCCATTTTACAATTGAGGCAATGAGAGGTTAAGTGCCTGACCATGGCCAGTAACCAAGATGAAAGCAGGACTTAAGTTTCCTGTCCAAATCTAAGGCTCATTTTACCTCCTCCTTAGGGCCAAATTACTGCTTCACAAACTACCTTTGGCCTTAGTTCCCTTGGCTGTAAATGTATGGTCATATCATATCTATACCTTTGGCCTTAGTTCCCTTGGCTGTAAATGTATGGTCATATCATATCTATAAGAGGCACCTACTCTTAGAGATAAGATTTTGTTATCTCAGGAATCGGCTCCCTGAGTGCTTTTGGCACAAAAATGCTTTATACAGTTAGCAAAAAGTTAGAAAACAATCATCCAATTGCGAAGGGGGGTGGTAAACTGGCGAGTGGTGAACCCTGGGTGAAGCAGTAGAAGAATCTGAGTCACCTCTGACCTAGGATGCGGACGTTGGTGGATGAATCTGAAGGCCCAAAATGTTTCCAGATCCACTTTGACTCAGGACAATACTGGTCAATTTTTTCGGGCCCTTTTTTATGGTAGTCCCTTGATATAACTATGGGCTATTTCCTTCACAGTGCTTCTCAAATGTTTTTTAAATTAATTGAAATTGTTCATCACCATTAGACACTTGTGAATATTCTTCCTATCAGAAATTTAAATTGTTTGAAAATTATTCTAAACTTATTTTCGGGGGGAAAAAAACCCATAGTGATGGTCTAGATTTAGCCTTAATGCCTTGACAGAAACCCGAAGAGAGGCTGCAGCCATGTCATTAACATGCCATTTGCTTCCCTGCTACTCACTTGACACACAACACATACCAGGAAACGTTGCAGTTATCACTGTGAGAAGGTAAATTTTAGGTCACTCTACTCACTTTCTGAATATCAGTAAAGTTTAAAAAAAAAAAAACACCTACGCCAGTATTCACACATTTTGACCTAAGAAAACACCATAATTAATATTTACAGTCATCATATGCCAAAATGATTCATCACTGTATCTTTAGTCCTACCATAGTGCCTGCCATATAGCTGGTACTAAGTCCATGATGACTAAATCAGTATTGAATAGATATATATATGCTAGTTAGAAGGGCATGACAGCAGTCTTTCTCTTAAAGAAACGAGCAGAGTTTTTTAATCCTACTTAATGATTAAGGTAAAATTGGATTAAAAGTCTCCTAGAGAAAGTTTCAGGTGCACTTATGCTCATGAACTTCTTTTCTAGACATTTCTAGTAAGAGAGAACCAGGTGAGAAGAGTCGGGAACTGCCAAGGGTAAGAAGGACACAGTTCTGTCCAAACAGATGCTGTTTACAGCCAAAGATGTAAAATGAAAAGAGTGGTGGTCTTGTGTGTTAGGATACCTGTTTGGTCTTACCTACAAGTAATTCAGATGCCAAAAATTATTACTTTGGGTGTGGAAACAGCCTGTGAATACACATTCAAGCTAAGATTATACTTAAAGTGCTTCCTGATGGTGATATTTAACTCTAAAAATGGGGCAGTGTGCACCTCACCTTCTAACATTATGATGATCTTGGATTGTTTTTATAGTCAGCTAGATGAAAAAGTGTGATAGGAGGAGGTAGACAAATTTAAGTTTCTAGAAGCAATTGTGTTCTCATCCTGTTCTAATCAAGAATTTTGTGTGTGTGAACCAAAACAAGCAAACTTTTCTGTGAAGTTTATGGTATTCTAGAGAGGAAAATGCTTGGCAGAGCAATTTAAAAAAGAAAAAACAAACTTCTAATATTTTCCCAACCTAAATGAAACTTTCACAGATCAAAAAGACAAGATATGTTAGAATACTGTGAAACATTTTTTGAGGGTGCATCTGTATTTTTAAGGACAAATATAGTACTATTATTTCCATCACCATGGAAAAGGTCAAATGTATTGCAGTAGTTCCACAGTAGGGTATATTTTTATCAGAAACTTTTAAATTTGATAAAATTCATTCTTAGATTAACATATAGAAATCTGTTGCATTTCTTTACACTAACAATGAAATATCAGAAGGAGAAAGTAAAAATCCCATTTAAAATAGCATCAAAAATATAAAATACCTACCAGGAATTCCCTGGTGGTCCAGTGGTTAGGACTCTGTGCTTTCACTGCTGAGGGCCTGGGTTCCGTCCCTGGTCAGGGAACTAAGATCCCACAAGCTGTGGGGTGCAGCCAAAAAAAAAAGTATATATATTTATTTATTTATTTTATATATATATAAATATATTTATATAATATAAATATATATATAAAATACCTAGGGATAAACTTAATCGAGGAGGTGAAACACGTATATGCTATATAAAACCTATAAAACACTGATAAAGGAAAGTGATTCAAAGAATGGAAAGATATCCATGCTCTTGAATTAGAATTAATATTGTTAAATGGCCATACTATCCAAAGCAATCTACAGCTTTAATGCAATCCCTATCAAAATACCCATGACATTTTTCACAGAAGTAGAACAAATCCTGAAATGTACATGGAACCACAAAAGACCCAGAATTCTGAGGAAAAAGAACAAAGCAGGAGACATAACCCTTCCAGACTTCAGACTGTACTACAAAGCAACAGTAATCAAAACAGCAATGGTATTGGCACAAAAACAGGCATAGATCAATGGAACAGAATAGAGAGCCTAGAAATAAACTCACACACCTACGGTCAATTAATCTGTGACAAAGGAGCCAAGAATATACAATGGAGAAAAGACAGTCTCTTCAACAAGTGGGGCTGGGAAAGCTGGACAACATGTAAATCAATGAAATTACAATATCCCTCATACCATATACAAAAACTCAAAATGGTTTAAAGAACTAAATATAAGACATGACACCATGAAACTCCTAGAAGAGAGCATAGGCAAAACATCCTCTGACATAAATCATAGCAATATTTTCTTAGATCAGTTCCCCAAGGCAAAAGAAATAAAAGCAAAAATAAACAAATGGGACCAAATCAGACCTAAACTTCTATAACAGCAAAGCACAGCCTATGGAATGGGAGAAAATATTTACAAATGCTGCTACTGACAGGGGGCTAATCCAAAACATACAAACGGCTCATACAACTCAGTATCAAAAAAACTGAACAACCCAATCAAAGAAATGGGTAGAAGACCTAAATAGATATTTCTCCAAAGAGGACATAGAGATGGCCAACAGGCACATGAAAAGATGTTCAAAATCCATAACTATTAGAAAAATGCAAATCAAAACCACAACTTGGTATTATCTCACACTGGTCTGAATGGCCATCATCAAAAAGGCAAAAAATACTAAATGCTGGGAGAGGGTGTAGAGAAAAGGGAACCTTCTTACACTGTTGGTGGGAATGTAAATTAGTGCAGCAACTATGGAAAACAGTATGGAGGTTCCTGAGAAAAAATAAAATTAGAGCTACCATATGATCCAGCAATCCCACACAGCAATCCACATACCCAGCAATCCTGGGTGTGTATCTGGAAAAGATGAAAACTCTTAATTGGAAAAGATACATGTACCCCAATGTTCACTGCAGCACTATTTACAATAGCCAGGACATGGAAGCAACCTAAATGTCCACTGACAGATGAGTGGATAAAGAAAATGTGGTGTAGATACACAGTGGAATATTACTCAGCCATAAAAAATAATGAAATAATGCCATTTGCAGCAATATGGACAGACCTAGACATTATTATACTAAGTGGAGTAAGCCAGAGAAAGATAAATATCATAGTATCACTTATATGTGGAATCTAAAAAATGATACAAATGGATGTAGATACAAAACAAACAGACTGGCATAGAAAACAAACGTACAGTTACCAAAAGGGAAGATGGGGGTGGGAAGAGATATATTAGGAATATGGGATTAACAGACAGAAACTACTATATGTAAAATAGATAAGCAACAGAGATTTACTGAATAGCACAGGGAACTATGTTCAATACTTTGTAGTAATATAAAATAGAAAATAATCTGAAGTATATATAATTGAATCACTTTACTGCACACCTGAAACAATTTTTAACTCAACTATACTTCAATTTTTTTTAAAAACCTCAAAGATTTTACTTACAAAAGCCTTTAGATTTTGTTTTATTAATGGTAAATATTAAAATTACTACTTTGATTTCTTTAACAAATAAAGGAACGAGACTTCCAAAAAATTTGTCTTTGAAAAGTTAGATGTGCAATTTTATATGTCATCAGTGATACTCAGTTCTGTCCCAGACTGTATCTGGACACATATTCAACCCTTAATGTTTCATAATTTTTATTAGAGTTGTTTCTTAAGTCTTGCCGTTACCACTACATGAAACTATGTAAACACATTGACCTGTTTTGTTTTAGTATAGTTTCTATACATTGCTATCAATAAAACATTACATATGGTATCATATAGTAACTTAAATTTGTGCCATTTTAACCAATAATAAGTACAGTGTTACGTTTAGAAGCCAAACCCCTCGAGTATATCACTTTTACTAGTGAGATCTGCTTTTTTTCCCCAATATTTAATGTTACATGAAGTTACGAGGCATTTTAGATTTAACTTGATTCTCACCTTATATGAGAAAAAGTTATGTTTTCAGGATTCGCTTTTGTATCTTCTTGGGCTTTTTGTTTTGTTTTTGTGGTTCTTTCTGGGAGGGCTTGGTCAGGAGCTGGAGAAAAGACAAGAAAGGGTGGACCTATTCTTTCATATAAATACGTTGCCGACCTTTTCCTGCTCATACTTTTTGTTAGCTCTTTGTATAATTTGAGGACTTCATTTCCCCAGTGCAGTATTTTGTAAAATTGAAGAGAAAAATGAACAGTGGAGCATAGGAAAATAACTCAAAGTAGAGAAAATGAACTGAGCAAAGGGGTAACAGTACCATTCAAGACTGTTGTGAACTTGTGTCACTGTCTAAAAAGGAATTTGGATTCATTTCAATAACTAGGGAAGTACTTAACCATCCAGAACTCACTCATACGACTAAATGAGAGTTCTTGTTAGTACTCCGTTTCTCCAAATAAGAAATAACAAAGAAGTACCCAAAAAAAAGTTGTTAAAAGAAAAAAAACTTACTTCTCCCACCTGTATATCATTTCCAGAATTAAATCCTTGAAACATTTAACCTCAGGACAGAGCACTAATTGAAGGACGGTACTTTGTAGGATGATGATGCCACCCTCCAATAAGTTGTCTTGGATAGATCGTATCTGAGGATATCATCAACTGTAATAAAAATTTTAAGTTCTAGGGGCTTACCTGGTGGCACAGTGGTTGGGAATCCACCTGTCAATGCAGGGGACACGGGTTCGAGCCCTGGTCCGGGAGGATCCCACATGCTGCGGAGCAGCTAAGCCCGTGCGCCTCAACTACTGAGCCTGTGCTCTAGAGACTGCGAGCCATAACTACTGAGCCTGCGCCACTGCTGAGGCCTGCGTGCCTGGGGCCCGTGCTCTGCAACGGGAGAAGCCACTGCAACGAGAAGCCCGCGCACCACAATAAAGAGTAGCTCCCGCTCACCACAACTAGAGAAAGCCCGCACACAGCAGCAAAGACCCAATGAAGCCAAAAATAAATAAATAAAATTAAATTTTAAAAAGTCCTAAATGTCTGGCTTGATATAGTAAGAAATTTTTCAGCTGTAAAAGTGATCTCAAAGTTTAGATTTATTTGCTTTTTTATTTTGGAAAATGTATATTGACTGGGATGATTGTGTGTTATTAATGTTTATGGAATATATGGATAGCATGTGTAGCACTAGTATCTGTAGATGGATTACATCATCTTACAGGGTAGTCTTCCAAGAAAATGGCTCTACAGTCGAAACAAATTTTATTACATGAAAACCATTCAGACTTGTACTTGATCCTGCTTCTCATCTTCAAATAATTCTTTTTTATTCCAAACACTTGCATGATACCTTTAGACAATTCATTTTTAGATGCCATGTAGAGAAATCATTATCCTTTAAAACACCTAACAAAAATCCATACATGCAGTTTGTGTCAGGTGGGGTTAATTTTCTCCTTACTGAACTGTGCACAGGAGAAGATATTTTGGGGAAATTTTATAATCCCTCTTTTTGGTGATTCAGTGTAGCATACTGGCTAAGCCTGTAATTACTGGAACCAGATGACATTGGCACTGATATTTGCTGGCTATGCAACCTTGGCAAGATGAGTTAATCTTTCTGTGCCTCAATTTCTCCTTTCGTAAAATGTAAATGCTAATATTATCCTACATAGGATTGCTGTGAGGAATAAGTAGAATACATGTAAAGTACTTAGAGCAGAACTCTTGGTAAATCTTAGTTACTATTATTCATTGGCATCATCATATACGACCTTGCTGGAAAAGCCAAAATGTCATATTATAGTAGTAAAATTTCTTTGAATATGTAAGTTATACTCTTGTCATATATATATTGGCACGTTAGCAACACTTTTTAGAAAAGGATCAATAGCATCGACTTAGGAAGACAATACCACCGTTATTTCAAATTCCTAGTAATGCAGTTTTTGTCATGTTCGCTGTAATTCTGGTCTTCTTACTGCAAGTGCTTTAACCTGGATACTGTATGAACTATATAGTTTACATAAATTTTTAATGTTTTATAAATCCCACGTGCGATTTTGCTTTTGAGAGTGACATTATTCTCTTAAATTACCAGTTTAAGAGCAACGCTTCAGAGATCTGATTCAAGGAAGACTATCTGATTTCCTTACATTCCAAGGGAATCATCTGTTTCAAGAAGAACAATCATGCAGGCTTCAAGGCTTTCAGCATGAAAGATATCTTGTTCACCATTTTCCGTTAATTTGTTTTGCAGCTTGCAGTTCCCCACAATGATGAGTGGACCCGATTTGCCAGGACGCTCGTGGAGATTCGTGCGAACAGAGCTGACAGCGAGGAGGAAGGCACCGTTGAGTTATCTGCCTAGTGGAAATGAGCCGTCCCCACCTTGACCTTCTAGAGCTCAGCATCTGCAGTCATCAAGTCCGCTTGTATTCAGTGTCCATTCAGTATCAGTATTGCCGTGACCGTTTGGGTGCCATGTTGTGCCAGCTTTGCTCCAAGTATTCCAGATGTATACTGACCTGAAATTCGCCAGAGCATTTCTGTCTTTATATTTCTGTCTCAGAAGTGGGGATGGGGAGGTAGGAGCCTTTTTGCGTTGAGTTGTTGCCTTTTAACTACTTAGTAGCTGTATTTAATAGCTGGAAACCTCTGGTTAAATTTGTGCTTACACGCACTTCTGGCATAGTCCTATTAAATCCATATGAAGCCAGATATGATTAGGTGCAGATGTGGTGTCATGCTATGGTACAGGGCCAAAGACTTGAGATGTGGCGTTTTACACGGTGACTCACATTATGAATGGATTTACTAGAAGAACATTGCTGCTCCTTATTTATTGTGGTGTGCTGCATGGAACATATTTATTTGAAAGCATTAAAATAAACGATCCTAGAGCATGTGCATAATGAGAGGACTGCATTGTCTCTCTGTTGCTGTTGAGGTTACATTAAGTTCCAAATAACAATTACAGTATGCCGGTTCCACTGAGGACGTGAAATCTTTAGAGGTTTGTTGCAGTGAATGGAATGAATTTTAATGCCTATTATTTCTAGGTACTTTAACAATATTTCAAATATAGTTGATCATTGATATTTGTCATTCAAGCTAACCCAGTCTGACAAAAGTCTGTGGTTCCTAAATATGACACCAGTATTGCCAATAAAATGTTCCAAACCAGGTCTGCTCTAGTGTGGATAAATCCTTTGCTTGGGAACTGCCTGATTAAAATTCTGCTGTGGCCAGCGGGTAGGGGAGATACATTAGGGCTATGTTAAAGATTGATAATGAATTTATAGGCAGCCAACCTGGCTGGACTTAAACCAAGACTCTGGTTTTATTTTTATGAAGGAACGTGTGTGCTATTTCTGGAAAGCGTTTTCTTGTCTCCTTCGCCAGAGCCACTCTAACCCAAAGACTATTTCAAGTGTTGGGAGTAGGAAGAACAGGTTAAGATGAACAAATACCAACTGTTCCACACATTTCATTATTTTTTAATTTATACCAGAAAATTACATTTATTACTGTTGGACTAGGAAATATGTCTAAACAACTTTATAGGATTTTGTTTTTTCAAAAGGTCATTTCTTGCCTAGAGAGAATGAAAATAAATAGTGGCTGACTCATGAAAAACATTTGAAGACAGTCTTTGGCTTTTTAGGAAGAGAATTTCCATGGTGCTTTGTTGGTAGGGATTCCTTGAGCTATGAGATTTCTTTTAATTTTGAAATAATGATATGCTTTTCTCTAAGTGCTATACAGTGTGTTAATATTGAAACTCTTTAAAAACATTAAATTTTTAAAGCTAAAATATGAATATCTAAAATACGTTTAAAAGCAACCCAATGAGACAAAAGACCTGTACTCTGAAAACTATAAGACACTGATTAAAGAAATCGAAGATGACACAAACAGATGGAGAGATATACCATGTTCTTGGATTGGAAGAATCAGCATTGTCAAAATGACTGTGCTGCCCAAGGCAATCTACAGATTCAGTGCGATCCCTATCAAATTACCAATGGCATTTTTCACAGAAATAGAACAAAAAATTTTTTAATTTGCATGGAGACACAAAGGACCCCCTAATAGTCAAAAATAATCTTGAGAAAGAAAAACGGATCTGGAGGAATTGGGCTCCCTGACTTCACACTATACTACAAAGCTACAGTCATCAAAACAGTATCGTACTGGCATAAAAACAGAAATATAGATCAGTGGAACAGTATAAAAGCCCAGAAATAAATCCATGCACCTATGGTCAATTAGTATTTGACAAAGGAAGCAAGAATATGCAATGAAGAAAAGACAGTGTCTTCAATAAGCAGTGCTGGGAAAACTGGACACCTACATGTAAAAGAATGAAATTAGAACATTCTCTAACAGCATACACAAAAATAAAGTCAAAGTGGATCAAAGACCTAAATGTGAGGCCAGACACTGTAAAACTCTTAGAGGAAAACATAGGCAGAACACTCTTTGATATAAATTGCAGCAACATCTTTTTGGATGCACCTCCTAAAGTAATGGAAAAAAACCCACAAAAATCAACAAATGGGACCTAATTAAACTTAAAAGCTTCTGCACAGCAAAGGAAACCATAAACCAAATGAAAAGACAGCCTACAGACTAGGAGAAAATAGCTGCAAATGACGTGACTGACAAGGAATTAGTCTCCAGAATTTACAAACAGCTCATGCAGCTCTATGTCAAAAGAACAACCCAATCAAAAAACGGGCAGAAGATCTAAACAGATATTTCTCCAAAGAAGACACACAGATGGTCTAAAAACACATGAGGGACTTCCCTGGTGGTCCAGTGGTAAAGAATCCACCTTCCAATGCAGGGGATGTGGGTTTGACCCCTGCTCAGGTAACTAAGATCCCATGTGCTGTGGGGCAACTAAGCCTGCACGCCGCAACTACTGAGCCTGTGCGCTCTGGAACCCGCATGCCACAACTAGAGAGAAGCCCAGACACCACAACGAAGAGCCTGCCTGCCTCAATGACAGATCCCACATGCCGCAATGAAGATCCCACGTGCTGTAACTAAGACCCAACGCAGCCAAAAAAAAAAAAAAAAGCAAACAAAAAA